GACGCGTATTCAATTTGGTCTCATTCTGGTCGACTCACCAAAACCAGTGAGTATAAATCAATATTCTAAGTGCTTTGTTATTCATAGTAGACTGAAATCATTAACTCAATAAACTTTTTGAACGCAAAGAAAGAACCCCGGGAGAATTTGTAACAGTAACGTACGCCTACCACAAACATGTATTTATGGACTGATTTGAGTCAGTGGCAGTTAATATATGACTCTGGTGTGACCGAAACGCGATTGGCAAGCTGTTTTGAAAACCCCTGCTCTTTAACTCATCAGTGCGTACAAACATTACCGAAAGCTAAATTAATTTCTCTAGTCCCTGAGTAACCGTGGTTTGCTTTTTTTTCATCCCGCACGCCGCCCCTCAGTATCAAATCTATCCCGCATTTCTTGGTTGAAATAAGCGCATGCTGCTCCCGCCAAGCCGTGTTTTAATCCTGTATCCCGCATTCAATATCGCACTATAACTAAACTTTCAGCTTATCTCGCATTCCCTCAAGCTTACTTTTTGACACTCCATAAATTTCGAAACATCCATGCATGACGTATTATGATAATCAGTATTTCGTCGAAAGGTTGAGAACGGCCCCTGAAGCGATTTTCGTAGTTTCACTTTCCAAAGCAAGTTCCGCCGTGGTAAGTACAGCTCAAGCTAATAACTTTGCATCGTCTGGTTTTTATCTTCACGAGGTAGAATAATATAGGGCTTGATTATGATGGCCAGGATATTCAGACCATCATTAAGTGACGGTTAATTGCAAGCTCAGTCCACCGTTTGCTAGATAACAACAAAGTTTTTGGCTCTGCCGGTTCTGATGTCTGTTACCACGGGAAAACAAGAGTTTAAAATCGACTAAATCGTACAAAGTAAGTTATAAAGTAAAAACTTTGGAAACGTCAACTATAACGGCCTTCCAAATTTTATAACCGAACGATGAAGAAAGTAGCTTTCATTGGTTGCCTTATTTCTTTTTAGAGCAAGTCAGTCTGTCTATGACAGGAACCAGAGTGGAATGTAAAGTTTATTAATTAGCCAACACAGAGTTTAATAGTAATCAGGAATGGTTTTTAAGCCCAAGAAGCTTCAAAAGAGCAAACAAATATGCTAAGATTTATGTTGGAAGGTCCAGGACTGTGGGCAATCTTTCGTTTTACGATCATACACAGTGCGTTAATTACATAAGCATATCATTTCCGTTGGTTAATCTACATGAATAATTGTTTGGAAGCATCGTTTGCGCAGTAATAATCTCTTAACTTTTCGTTCTCTTCTACTTTTCAGAGGAAAAGGTCCTGTCATTGACGCGTATTCACTTTGGTTTCATTCTGGTCGACTGACCAAAAACCAGTGAGTATATATCAATATTGTAATAGCTTTGTTATTTTCATTAAGTGAACTGTTCACAGTCGATCTACTATTTGTTTCATCGAGAAATGTAAATTATATTAATCAGCCGACACAGAGTTTAATAAAAAACTGGAGTGGTTACTGAGCCCTAGAGGTTTTAAAAGTGCAAACAAAGATGCTAAGATTTGTATGGAAAGGTCCAGGATTGTGAAAAATCAGTGTATTAATTAAATAACCGAAATGTTTCTGGTGGTTAACTTATAAGACAGAACTGAGTTAACACCTATTGTGTTTTATGCATGGGTAAGCCAAAGAGCGAACAACAACATACAACAATTGAAAGAACTTTGTCTAGCTAGAAATCCATTGTACTTAATATTAGCTATGTTAAAAAAAAACCAATATGCTCTGAAAGCTATTGGTCTTAACCATCAGTATTCAACAAAGTATGTGGATGGAAAAATGTAAATTACTTTCGAATGTTGTTATTGGATTGTNTTAACTCTGAGCGATGTATTTAAAGACTAATCAAATCCAGTTATAAGTAGCGACGTTCGTGTGACCGAAACACGATTGGCAATCTGTTTAAAAAAAAAAATCTTCCTTTTTAACTCATTGGTGTTTCGGAGCACTCACAAAAGGTAAATTGATTCCTCCAGTCACTTTGTAACCGTAATTTTTTTTCATCCCGCATCCCGTCCATCAATTTCAAATTTATCCCGCATTTCCTGGTTGAACTCAACACATGCTGCTCTCATCCCGAGTCCCGCTTTCCACATCCCGCCTGGATTTTCATCTTATCTCACATCCTGTCAAGCTTACGTTTTGACACTCCAGAAACTTCAAAATACATCTTCCATGCTTGGCGTATTATGATAATCAGTGTTTTCTCGAAATTTCTAGAACGCCTCGAGCGGTTTTCGTAGTTTCACTTTCCAAAGTAAGTTTCGACGTGGTAAGTACAGTTCTAGCTAACTTTGCATCGTCTAGTTTCTATCTTAACCGGTTGGAATACTATTATAGGCTTTATTATGATAGCCACGAAATTCAAGCTATCATAAAGTGATGATCAATTGCAAAGTCCACTGTTTGCTACTAAACAAAAACGTTTGTGGCTCTGTCAGTTCTGATGTCTGTTGCCACCGAAAAAATGAGTTGGAAATCAA